GGAAAAGTAGATACGACGGAGACGTATCACTAATCCACTACGATTTGGATATTTGATCCGAGGGGCCTCTGGCCTGATAGCACTAACCATCACGTGGGCATAGTATGGGCGTTCTGCGTCGTATGCATCAGCCGAAGCTTAATAGACGTCAGCAACTGAGCGGCGCGCGCCGGGTTGGACTGGTAAGCACCTGCCTTTTTGAAGGAGGTTGCTAGGTCTGCTCACCAGCCGCGTACGCAACGTGTAGGATTTCCCGGGGAGATGGCCCATGACCCCCGGGGGCATAGGTTTAGTCCGGCGTGCTAACCTCTCTATTAAGCCTAGGTCGGGTTGCGACGTATTGTTTGGCCGAGGTCGGGCATGACCCAGGAAAGTGTGTCCGGCCGGAGTTAATCAAGCGTGGTGGGTAAGTTGGTGCACCCCTGCAGGGAAGAAAACATCTATCGATAGCCTGTCCTACGGTAATGGACACTTGGAGTTGTATCCCGATCGATACAACTAGAACTGGATACTTGTGATGAGAAAAGGGTGGACATGAGAAATGGATAGTATGGCTCTGGGATTGCTTTCTCACAGGGAGTCGAGAAAGGATCTCTAGCCGAGGTTGATAACACTACTACTACTACTTTACATTATGTCGATCTGTACTCTTCTATATGCTACAAGATGCTTGAAGATGTTAGTCTTCGATACGCTAGGCTTTCCCCTTCTTTTCTGGCATTCTGCAGTTTAGTCCATAGATACAGCCCTTTTCCTTTGATACAGAGGCATACTTAGTTTAGATCTGATCTAAGTCTTGCGAGTACTTTGGATGAGTACTCGCGGTTGCTTTGCTACCTCTTTTCCCCCATACCCGATTGTTGTGACCAGATGACGGATCCCAGGAGCTAGACGACACCACTGATGACTACTGCTACCCCGAGGATGCCTACTACTATGTGACGGCCACTGATGACTTGGAGTAGTTAGGAGGCTCCCAGGCAGGAGGCCTTGCCTTTTCGATCGATGTTGTTTTGTGCTAGCCTTCTTAAGGCAAACGTGTTAACTTATGTCTGTGCTCAGATATTGTTGCTTCCGCTGACTCTTGTGTTTTTCAAGCTTATGTATTCGAGCCCTCGAGGCCCCTGGCTTGTAATATAAAGCTTGTATTATTTTAATTTGTGTCTAGAGTTGTGTTGTGATATCTTCCCGTGAGTCCTTGATCTTGATCATACACATTTGCGTGTATGATTAGTGTACGATTGAATCGAGGGCGTCACAGTTACAGTAACATATTATGTCACCACATGCATCTCTTTCCTCATTAAATACTTGCCACATAAGACTAGCCATAGTGGGAGTAACTTCAGCAGTAACATCGAGTCCAACTCAGTAAATTTACTTATGTGGCAATGAGTTAATGAGGAGAGAGGTAGTTATAGTAACTTAGCTAGTTACTGTAACATCACATGTCCCAATGCAATATGAGTCTATAACCTAATAAATGAATCTTTGCATGTTACCACCCTTAAGTTACTACCCACTATGGAGGTAGTAACATAGTCTAGGGATATGTGTATGTTACTATCCATTGTGGCTAGTCTAAACAAAATTGTCTTGGAATGTGTTAAGTTACTAGTTAAGTTACCCTCACTATGGCTAGCCTTATATAGAAAAACAACCTCAACAGCCACCCACCGCCGCCAAATCCAGCACTATTCCCCTTAGGCCAACTCCACCGCGCGACCCCAAACGGACGTCCATTTTGTCCGGATTCTGTCTGTTTGGGTAGGGATTTGGGGTCATGTCCGGGCGTGTCCTCGGATGCGGTGGCCGTGCGCCCAGCGTGCGGCCGCATCCGTTTACCCCATCCTGTCCGCGTCTATTTAAAAAAAGAGCAATGTTTCAAATGCCAAGCCCTAGTTCACGGCCCCAGTTTATCACGCCGGCAACAAAGCCAGCGGTCTACACGTCCATCGCCAGCGGCCGACAACACAGCGAACCTCCAAAATGAATATTTGTCCTCGCCGGCAACACAGCCAGCGGCCGGCAACACAGCTGGCCTCCAAAATGAATGTTTTCTCGCCGGCACACTGCCAGCGGCCCAGCGGGCAAGCGGCACCCATGCCAGCCTCCAAAAAGAACGGCCACGCCGATCGGACGACCTAGTTCAGGCCTTCGGCGTCGAGCATCTCCTTCTGCCTGGCCTCAAACTAGGCCCTCGTCTTGTCGCTCATCTTCGATAAGTCCACGCTTATGATCGCACGGGCCACCTCCTTTGCTTTGGTGGCGGCATTGGTGGCCTCGATCTCGAGCTGCCTCTGCCTGGCCTTGACGTTGTCGGCCTCGATGTCGAGCTGCCTTTGCCGGGCGGCCTCTTCCATGTCGAGCTGCCTTTGCCGGGCCGCCTCCTCCATGTCGATCTTCCTCTTCTTGGCCGCCTCCTCCATCTCAAGCTTCTTTCTTTGAAGGTCTAGGTATTGCTTCATTTTGCTCGTCCTTGCTTTGCCGCTTCTTCTCGTCCCTCACATCCTTTTGAGACATCATGCCATGCAAAGTGTCATGCAATGCCATGGATGAGGCATCACGTATGTCATCAACCTTGGAGTTGGTCTTGCCCCTCGGCCTCTTCAATGCCTCGCCATCTCCACCTCCGGCGAACTTGGCCGTCTTCAGTCCTCTCTTCCTTTGTAGTTCACGGTATTGGTCCTTGAACTTAGGGCAATTGTTGATGAGCGTCCAACAATGTGTAAGAGTGAATGGCTTGTCATTGTGTCGGGCCTTGAATGCCTCCAAAGATTGAAATGCCTACAACACATGATCAACAAGAAGTGAACATGCAAACATATACAAGGCCGAAGTCTCATGGCCGTAGCAAGGAAAGGGCTAGGAAGAGGAGAGCATACCGTGTGCCCAACGCCGAGACCACTCACAGGCCGTGCTTGAACGCTCTCAAATGCGGCTTGATACTTGTTGCACTCTTGTTGGATGAACAACCATCTCTTTTGAATCGAGCTGATGCCACGGTTGCTTGTAGTTTGGTAGGGCTCGAACATCTTCCTTTCATTGAATGTTTTGTGGACTCTCGTCCAAAAAACAATGCCCTTTTGTTGCGCGCCGGTCCTCGGATCTTGGCTAATCTTCATCCAAGCTTAGCAAATCAACTTGTCCTCATCTTGTGTGTACGAACCCGTGCGAATGCTCTTCCTCTTCTTTTGTGCTTCCACTCTTTGGGTGATCTCGTCGATGAACAATGGCTCGCCACTAATATCAACGTCATTGCCTTCTTCTTCATCACCATCACCTTCGACATAGATGTCATCGTCTTCATGCCACGAGTCACCATGGTCGTAGTCAGCACGGTCATCGGCCTCTTCATCGGGCACCTACTGGGCACGGCCATCCTGAATTTGGGTCTCCTCGGGGTCGTAGGCACGGCCATGCCCACCCTCGAAGATCACGTCCTCCATGTACTGGTTGTAGAAGGGGTCGTCGACCGTTGGCATTGGGGTTGGCATTCCGTCAAACAAGACGCGCGGGGGGGGGGCATGGTAGCCGTGAACGGTGCCCGTGCCTGCTTTCTTTGCATCTCGACGGCCGGCCGGCCGCCGCTGCTGGACCCAGGCGTGACGTTGAGGTCGATGACGGCCGCGGGACGCGGTGTCGACGGCGCGAACAAGCCCATGCCCGGCGACCCCGTGAAACGGGTCTGGCCGTCGTGCCTTGGCGGAGGAAAGCCGGGCGACATGGGCGCGGTGCGCGAGGTCGGCGACTGGCAGTGCGTAGGTCGGGCGATCGACGAGCCTGTGCTCACCGGGCCGACGACCGCTGTAGGGAACCCGGTCGGACGGCCCATGCCAAGCATGAGGATGGCGTGTGCTTTGTTGACGAGGTCCTTCTTCTCGTCGGCCGCGGCCTTGCGTCGTGCGGCCTCTAGCTCATCGCACTGGGCGGCGAACTTGGCCGCGGCGGCATTGACCTTGACGACCGCTCTCCGTTCCCCCCTCTTCGCGGATTCCACGTCCAACTTGGCGATCTCCTCCGGCGTGCACTCCGACCGCGGCTTCCTTGGCGCCTTCTTCTTCATCTTTGCGGGCGGGTCGACGGCCAGGCCGCCGGAACTCGGCGGGGCGTCGGCCATGGACGGGGAGAGAGGGGGCGGCGGGAGGGACGTGGAAGGGTTTGGGGGAAAATGGCGCCAAATGGGCGTGGGGGGTTTGGTTTCTCCCACCGACAGGCGGGCCAGGGGAGGACAAGCGCGCGCGTCCCGCCCGTCCGCGCGCTGTCCGTTTCACCCCCAAACCGGCGCAAACTAGGACCGGGGATGGGTCAAAAGCGGACACAAAGCGGACAAAAGTCCATTTGCGCCCGCGCGCTGGGCCGTCTCATTTATCTCTTTTACTCCAAACGAACGGAGGCGGACAGGATAGGGTCACGCGGTGGAGTTGGGCTTACGCCGGCGCCGCTAAGTGCTCAGATGCAAATCTTCAGCTCGATTCTTCGTCTCCTCCGAAGCCCTGACGTTGCCGCTTCTTCTGCCCCGATGCGCCGCCTCTCCTCTCTGTCGCGACCACTTCACTCCTTCATGCCCTCTCCCCCGCCTCGCTGGTGGCCACCAGCGATTGTGCCTTTAGTTGTTGCTATAAAATTCTAGATCTGGATCGCGACCAGAATTGGGCCTTTATTTACCCTGGTTGGGGGTAGGGTTTGAGAGAAAAAGACGGAAAGGAAATAAAAACAATAATCAATTTTAGGCTTTTGTTCAGAACTTCATATTACATTCCTGTTTTGATACCCTGACCGATCGGTGATACCATCTTATTTGTGTCGGGTGCTGAGATTGACTTTATACGTTGTTGGTGATAGATTTCCTCTTGGATTTCGGAACATGGCCAGCAGGCCCAGCACCACTGAAGTGGAAGGGGATGATTCTGGTAAACCAGACATGCGACTGCTTATCAATTCTTCCGTCACGCAAAACATGAACAACATGGAGACAAGGAGCACAACAGGGGAACCCCATGGCATGTTATGCCGAGGTTATAGATGACAAACGTGATACATGGGGGAAAACTGTTGGTTATGAGGAAGAAACCGTGGACAGCGAGGACGAAGAATATGGGAACTGCGATACACTGATGTCTCGATACCCCTTAGACCGTGTGCGCCCTCTGGCTGTGATTCCGAAGAGCAGGTATCGTGATGGTTCTATATACAAGTGCACACACTCATGGAAAAGAGAATGTCTTATTGCAGACCGCAGTGAGAGTAAGTGATCGGTACCTCTTTTCCTTCTTTTTGTTGGTATTAGACATTTTGCAGTATATTGGTCAACTGATATATCCTTTGCTAAAATCTTGAGTTCAATTTTGCTTTATTTGTTTACTTTCACTAGTTTAATGCCAGTGCATTGCCACCAAGCAAATGATATCTCGTCAAAGGGTACTCGGGGGATGAATTCGTTAGGTGTAAGCAAAAAAGTAGCAGACAGCTAGCCGTTGTGCCTTAAAGAAAATTCGGTGTGCCTTTAGACGTTGTCTTAGTCATTGCTGCGATTCATTGGAAATTGCATCACTCCATAATGTTATTTATATTTACATTCCAAATTTGTCAGGTGGAATTATTTACATCAGTTTTCATTATTTTTAGCATGTAATTATTGTATCCTAAGTGTTAAATTGGCCCACTTGTTCCCGACCAAACTATGCAAATAGTCGTGGAAAGTTATGAAAATATTTTCAAACATATAAGACGGTGAAATTATCTACTATTGGAAAGAAAAATCAACTTAAAAGAGGATTTGTGGAAGGAGAAACAAAGGAAAATAAAAATCATAAAGGTCCTTTTCCTTTCTGAGGTGATTACATATTATTCTCTTTTTCTTTGCGTTTTCCTCAAAAAAACTTCTCAGGGGATCAGACTTTCCCTTTTTTTAAGGGCAGGGGATCAGACTTTCTAGTATAACATAGATAGTTTCCACTTACATGTAAACATAAATTTTCAATAGGGCCATGGAATCCTCTGTCAGCATGTTTACCTTTTGTATGACAAGTATTTATTTACTACATGAATTTCCAGTTACAATATAACTTGTATTTTTTTATGAAGCTATTTTCGAGCCAATGATGTTTACAGAGCCCTCAAATTGCTTCATCTTCAATGGCACTTGCATGCGGCATGGACCTACTCACATGTTACAAATTGTATCAATAAAGCTGGCTAAAATTCATGTGGATGGTGGGCCAATAGCGTTGTATGGATACATAGCACTGCGGGATAATCTGGATCCATTGCTTAATTATGTCGTCAAATTTAGCAGGGATGATCCCAGAGCCATTACTTTGGAGCAGGTGCACTTCTATACTTATCCGCAATTGTTTCAATGAATAAGTCTACCTAACTCCCCAAGTATTGAGGTTTGTCTACTTAACCTCTTCAAGTATAAAGCCTGGTATTCCGCCTCTTAAAAGTATTCAACACTATCGAAATCGCCCCTAGGTGCAGTTTTGTAGGTGGTTTTTGCACATGTGCCATGTGGACTGCATGGGCAAAGCACACCTCCTAAACGACCCCAGTGAATGATTTAGACAGTATGGAATACTTCGGGGGTCAGATACCCGATTTTATAGATTAGCCTGGTATTCGACCTCTCAAAAGTAAAAGTATTCAAACACCATCTAAATTGCCTCCACTTGCAGTTTTGTAGGTGGTTTTTGCACATGTGCCATGCGGACCGCATGGCAAAGCCACCCCAGTGGACGATTTAGACAGTATGGAATACTTGGGGGGTCAGGTACCTGATTTTATAGACTAACCTCGATGCCCTGAGGGAGTTAAATGGACTTATTCCTTACTTAAATTACCCCCCTTTTTCATTTCACAATATCGCATGCATAGAAGAATGATATTACGTACTCTCGATCATGTATTTCAACCACTTATCTCTTTTTTATCAACAAAGATGCTTCCATGTGATTAATCTGTTCAGAAGTATCAGAATAAAGAGCTTGTTCATCAATTGTAAAATATCCCTTTTATGTAAATGTTGTTGCAAGTAGATAAAACATCATAAGGGAAGTGCTTAGGATGTTTCTTACTTTTATATGAAGCAACTGTTAAATAATAATAACTTTGTAGGGTTCTCTCATCAACTTGGCTGGCCCTAAGCGAGGGATTAATTATCTGGGTGATATTTTTATCGAATACGATATGAGGATCAAGACTGTTGGACCAGAAAAGCATGATCCACAACTGATCGATGGCGTATCAATACTAGGCAACATGGGCGTACGGAATCGTAGTGTGTTCACGAATCGCATCCATGGCAATTGTGGTGCAGTTGACATAACCTTTTCAAGTCTTGAAAATGCAATTGAGGCGACTGTAGAAGTTGCCATATCAGAAGTGCAAAGCAGTTTCAATCTGTCTCTTGGCTGTTTTACCAGTGGGTTGAATGAAGAAATTCGGCTCTTTGATGGCGTCATTGGTGAGATGCGGAGCTTAAAAAGGTCTGTGGTTGCTGTGGTGATAGATTCTTGGATACACTTGAAGTTCAAGGTTGGTACAGAGCGATCCAGTTCCACTGAACGTGATTGTTTCTTCAATGCTGGCAACCACGGGTCTAGTGCTCGAAAGATTAAGACTGATTTTGCGTTAATCTCAGTGAAGGTGATCTGGTCGCCTTTGCCTGATGGGTTCTAGGTTTATTTCAAATTCATCACACCCTTTGGATAAACTTTGTCGAATAGTGGTGAATGTAACAAGTTGTCAGTCGAGTCGTGGGCCTGTGGCGAGCATGCATGGTTTGTAATCAAACCAGTGTCCAAGTAGGTATTTGTACTCTCTGCATGTGTATTCGAAGCGGTTTGTATCCTCCACAAGTGAACAGATGATCGTTCATCTGATGATTTGATTGCTGGGATGGTCAGCTAATTCTGAAGCTTGCTGTTAAAAAAATTCTGTTGATGTCCTGGCTGGGTAAAAAGGACTGCCTTGCCTGGTTGAGAAGGGAACATTTCAGCTGAAGAAGGTGCTGATTGTGGAACAAGCTACAACTGTGAAGTTGTTTGAGATAAGCTTGTGAGGTGACTATTATTCTCCCCCCTGGTTTTGTTCCCAGCTACAAAGTAGAGATGGTGATGACTCAAGAAGTCAAGATTCGTATCTGTCCAGTACCTAGCACTTTGTTGACATGAGAAATTTTAGAAGAAAGGCACAAGCAGCCCCCGGCTAAATTGATAAAGCCCAAACTGACATGAGAGTTGAGAGGTGCTGATTTTTATCTGCATGGGCCTGTGATTTGCTTTTGTAGTTTGTATGCATGTACGTTGAAGATGAGTAGATAGTATGGTGTGGATGTCACTCTGCTATGTAAGATTTAACCATGCCTATGTGATGTACTCCATCTTTGTCAACAAAAAAAAGTGATCTACTCCCTGGAGGGAGTATCTTTTTTTTTTTTTTGAGAATTGAGTATCTGTTTATGTGGTATACATGTGACTGGCGCGGTGGGAGCTGCCTGCAGTGGCATGTTAATGAAGAGCGATGTTCCAGACGATGGCTGACTCCGGCCAGGTGGTCAAAGATCATGGAAGCATCGCATTGACGGAATTAATGGAAGGTACATCCAGTGCTCTGTAACTTTTGTCAACAAATGAACATGATGATACCAAGTCTCTCCTGTTGGTGAACGTGATATCGGAATAATGTTCGGCACGACAAGCTGGCAGGTTCCTTGTGGTCGATGATTAGTCTGGATCTGAAACTTGTGAAGCAACTTGAGTGTACAATCGTTTCTCCCATGGTTGGCCAGATGCAGTACGAAACTGCTTGGAAGATTTACAGGTGTGACATCTCTGCGCGGCGACCACATGGGGGGAGGGAGATGACCGTGTTCGGAAAGAACAGGTGTGGAAGATAGCCTTATCCGCTACACGCATGCCTGCATGCAGCAGTAGATGGTGGTACTCCTACAGTCCTACGTACATTGACATGGCCAGCCCCAGCCATGTGTATGGAACTATGAATGCATGCACCGTTTGACTGTTCTAGTGTGTGCAACGATAATGCTGCCCTGTGCCACGCATGAGGCAGATGCAATGCGTGCTCTGCGCGGGCGCGGCAAGCAGCACATGGATGGAGGGCGGGAGAGGACCAGCCATTTTCGGAAAGAAGAGGCGGGCAAGATAACATTATCGGCCGATAGATTCATGGTATGCATTGACGTGGCCGGTCTTGTGTGTGGATGCATGCACCGCCTGACTGTAGTGCTGTGCATTGATTGGGATCGTTCAGTCAGCCGGACCCGGGAAATCTGGAGCTCAGCTGGACGGCGGGAGAACAAGATAGCTAAGCTAGCTAGGGTAGGCGGGGCAGGCAGGGTCGTCGTGCTGGCTGCTGCAGCCGCGTCCCCTAGCTGGGGCTGCCATGAATGCGGCGGCCGTGCTCTGTGGCCTGTGGGCGCCATCGGTTTGGTCTGGTCTCTGGTGAGAAGCGTTGCCTTGCTGTCTGAGACCATCTGTCTAGTAATCTTCATCTGATTCTGTGTGCCTCACATGCGATGCTTTGCTGATGTAGAGCAGAGTCCTCTTCTGCTGTACTAGCAAGTACAGTAGCTTGTAGAGCATGGCTTCGTTTTCAGTTAGACCCGATCACCATTAAATCAGCTCCGTCTATTAATTCTACAAAAACAATATCTTTTTTTTCTGTAGGTTTGCCCATGGGAGACATCAGCAGTTTCTACATGGCACATACAGTGACAAGTGTCCCCTCAAAAAATAAATACATATAGTGACAAGTGACATTTTAGTTTTCTTCGTATTTATTCCTTATATATGGTGAAAAGTTTTTGTTACACTCAGCATCTCATCCCATGAGCAAGCCAAAACTTTTCTGCTAGATCATAGTATTACATATGTTC